CTAAAAAAAAAAAAAATCAATAAAAATGCATCAACAAAAATTTTCAAATTTCTGAAAATATTTTTCACTATATATTTTGAATTTGCTATAAAAAAATTCACCGATAAATAAGTAAAAGTTCAAATGAAGATACTTTTCAACATTATTTAGGACCTTTTACAAATAATTTCCAGGCCACTTCTTGGATTTATCACTAAGCTATACTGTTAAAATAGTTCGAGTGAAAAAATAGAGAAAAGTACTTAATGATTTATAAGTTTTTAAACCTATCTAAAAGTTTTTAAACCTATCTAAAAGTTTTTAAACCTATCTATAAACTCTTATCTTTATAAACTATAAACCATCAAAATTGTTTTTCAGAAAATTAAATTTATTTATATATACGCGAATGATGAAACTCAAGCGCATTTTAAAAATATGGCCAGATATATTCTATAACTGGCACAAAAATTAGGGACTTTGCCATAAAATGAAATAAGCATTCAGTTTTTTGTATGGAGTATTTTTAAACCAAGTGTTTCAAATGTGGAAAACGAATTACATGAAACCCTGTTCAAAATAGTGGATGAAATAAAAAAAAGCATTGAAATGAATGTAACGCTTCAAGTGGATTTCAAAGATGTAAAAGTTTTTTATAATCATTATTTTTTTGTAAACATTCTTTTTTTTGAATCAATTTTTATTATTTTTTGAAGCAGTTATTGATAAACCATGTAATTCTCTAGTAAAAGTCGTCACCTTTAATAGAGAATTTTAATAGAGGATAGAGAATAAAGGCAGATAAGCCTTTATTTATCTCATAAGATTTTAGAAATTGAATTTAAAGAAAATAAAAAAATAAAAAATTAGATGAATAATATTATAGTTCAATAAACAAACTTAACAACATAAGCATCGCAAAGTTTATAATTATAAATAATAACAACAGTAAATTATTTTACTAAGGATATATCAAAAGTTAAATTCTAACAACACAGATTAAAACTTTTAATTCTTATGCGACGAAAAAAAATGTAAGCTCACAAATATATTTATTTTAAATTTGGTTTATCTTATATTTGGTATTAGGGATGCCAAATATTTAAGTTTTCACTATTTGTACAAATAGCAAATACCCCAAATAGTGACCCCCTAAATATTTGTACAAATACCAAATAGTAAAATGTATGAAAAAAATAAATTATTTTCAATTCAAATTTTAGCTTTTATTTAAGTAGTGATATTTTTAAATAAGATTATTCAATTTTTCTTCTTTCTATTACGAAGTTTAGTCTTGAAGTTTCCAGCTACAGAAAAGACTCTTCCAATGTCTGTTAATGTTACTTGCACAGTTAATAAGGCATTGTAAATCATCTGAAGTTTACCTGTACGTACTTTTCCTTCAAATGTCTTAATTTTATTTTTGATCTGTTTTCTTGACTGTTTTCTGATGGTTTACAAAGTTGGTTAATAGTGTCATCAAGCTTGGATGTTGTATTTGAATCATTTTCATCATCATTTTCCTCCAACAATGATTCTGCAAATAGTCTTCTATAGAGTTCTTTAACTTTTTTTCTAATAGTTAATTTTGACGAATATTTAAAATAATCATTTTCCTTTGGATAATCACCAGTGTGAAGAAAAATCAATGTTGATATTAAATAGACATTTCTTCGTGAATCAATTCGATTTTTTAAACTTTCGAGCATTTTTTTGCGAATTATCACTTTCCTGTCCGTTGAGTGTGGAATAAATAGATAAATAATCATTCTGCCACCATCAAATTGCAGCATTTAGAGTTTAATTTTTTAATAACTTCTTCAGCAGGAATCAAACAATCAATTATGCCTCTAACTTTAGTTTCAATGCTGTTATCATATGAACCTTCAAATTCAGTTATTGTAGATTTTGCAATTTCTTTCAGTTCATAAAATCTCTGCATCATAGGAAGTACACTATTCCATCTTGTCTTGCAGTCAATTAACAGAGTTAACTCTTTTCCTGTTGTTTTTGGACATTTTCTTTAAAGCGAGCAATTTTCAATGGAGATTTTTGAAATTTTTCTCAAATACCCTCGAACAACTGATATAACATCAAAGTAGGATTTTTCTTTTGGTAAAGAGCTTTCTTGTTCATCAAAATCTTCATCTTCATCATCAAGTTCAACATTATCATTATATTCATCTATCTCTTCACGATCTTTTTGATATAAACAGTCAACAATAGCTAAATTTATTCCATGATTATAACAAAGTTGACTTTCAAATGGCATCAAGGTGGCATATTTTTCCATCACGGAAGCTCCATCGTTTATAGTTGAGACAGTATCTTCTGAAGTTTAATGTCAAGTTTGATGTCCTGGAGTTTTTTTCTGACAATTGTTTTCAATTTTTAACATTGTAACTACCTGATCCAACAGAAGTTAATGCAAATTGCTTAGATTCAGTGCTGTCGTGAATTTTGATATTTAAATATCTCTTGAATGTATTATCAGTCCACTCATAAATTATTGTACTAAATTTCTTAAAAATAAATTTCAAAATAATAAAATTTAAAAAATTTCAGTAGTAATGAATCAATTATGATATAAAAGTCACAGAAATTGCTTAACTTGGAAACTGAAATAAAGGCTTCGTAACAAATAAGATTTTTTTAAATGTGACAGTTATTTTTAAAAAAAATGCTGAAAAATAACTTAAATTTTTTTGCACTATTTGTGTACAAGTATTTGGGTAAAAATACAAATATTTGGGTGACCTCAAATAGTGATAAAAACCCCAATTACCCAAATAACAAATATATGGGTTCGACATCCCTATTTGGTATATTATACAAGCATGTTGCAACAAATTCCTATCCGATTATATATTCCGTTCACCTTGAGTACAATTCAAAATTTTAGGTAACTGGAGCAGATAGCAATCTATTTCTTGTCTCTATTAGTGATAGCAATTTTTCAGTCTTGGGCAGCAGATGTAATTTTACAACGTCCCGAGTGTTTTTGATTGACCACACTTCCAGTTTCCTTTTTTATAATATTTCAAACTGTTGAACTCCGAATCTTGAATTCTTTTGCTATTTGACCAAGAGAATATCTTTTTGCCATACTGTGGCTATTACAGATTGTTTTTCTACAGTCACCTCTCGTTTTCTGGCAATTTATCATGTAAAAGTATTAACAATTTATAAAAATTATTAATCTCTTAATGCAAAACTAATAATCAAAATTCATTTCAGCAAAACTTTAACATTAAGAAATCTCTTGAAATAAAATAAACAAGAATAGTCTATGTTTAATAAGTGTATATTTATTAGGCCGGGTATAAAATAAAAATAAACATGAATGAATAAAAATAAGCAATTGCTTTTACTCGGTAACTGGGAAATTTACGCGAATAAAAACTTTAGCAGTTTTGCTGATATATTTGTTCAAGTAAAGTTAAGCAATTTACTCAGTAAATGCTCAGCTTTACGTGAATAAAAACTCAGGAAAAATTGCTCAAGTTTTTGTTCACGTAAAAATGACCAATTATTAAGTAAAAACAATTGCTTATTTTTATTCACCCTAATGTTTAAGTTTCATGCATTATAAAATTTAGACACAAATTCAAGACCTGATGATTGCATGATTTATAAACAATTAACATAAACTTGATAATGGGATTGATAATTGCGTGACTATTAAATGATTAATAAAACAGTATTATTAAGTAAATAAACCCTACTTCAACCAATTTAAACAACAATGTTAACTTTAGAACTTTTATCAAAGTATTTTTACCTAAACTATCTAATAATGCAAAAATAAAAAATAAATAAATAAATGTACATATATATATATATATATATATATATATATATATATATATATATATATATATATATATATATATATATATATATTTATTTATTTTATAAAAGAGTGCATATCTCAGCATTACCATTACGTCGAATGGCAAGTAGGATACACACGCTTCCCAAATTGCATGTAATTATTATCCGAATTTAGCAGTAAAACGCATTGAAGGTATTCAAAAAAAACTACTAGGGTGCCTCACGATCAAAATCAATGCGCTATGAAGAACGCTTGCACTTTCTTAATTTTGACACTTTCAGAGTCAGAAGAACACGTTTTGATTGCATTCAACATTTTAAAATTGAAAATAAAATTTATAAAGTTAACTGGCATGTTGAACCATATACAGTAGAACTTAAGTTTATCCTAAATGCTTACGCCGAGAAATAACTGATACTTCTGAAATAGTTCACAACTTTTTCACTAGTAGAGTAGCAAATCCTTAAAACAATCATCCCAATAATGTTGTTCTACAAACTTGGACAAACTTTTTTAGAACCCATCGCAATAGGTTTTTAGAAAAAACAACAGTTGCGGCTGAACACTGTTAAGTCACGTTGAAATAGTCGTTTTAGGAAAACAAGTTCATCTACTGACCATGTAGTCACTCCTACCTGGTCCTTGAGTCAAATAGTAATGACAAGTCAATTAGCATGTTTGATAACCATTTACACAGAGCAGCTAATGGATCAGTTGGAATCTTGTCAACACAATAACGATTTTACAATAATTACAACTATAAACATACTTTTAGAAAAGTTTTGCAAGTTTTTTATAAATTAGTTTTAATAAACAATTACACAATTTTTAAGGTTTCTTATATATTTTTGATGAGATGATTTTAGTGGTAACATTAGTTTTGCTCTATTATAAAGTTTTACTAAGAAAACACATAATAAATTTTCATGTATGATCAATACATTTTTAACTTATATATGCTAATTTTAACTAATACTTTGTGTTTATTTTTATCTTCACTAATTGCAACTGTTAATGAAGATGTGAAAATGTGGTGTCCTTACTCACTCTGTTATGTTTTTTAAACTATATTATTAGACTACTATTTTAGTCCAACACAAACTGGACATAAGATTGCTAGTAGTATAAAATTCTTTACTGCATAGCAGGATTATTTTGGGATGGCTATAGAAGATCAAGAAATGTT